ATATATATAGCATAGGGCAAATTTGCTGCACAAGACATCTTTAAAGTGTTAAAGAGCAAAGATACCACATTGAGAACTAAGATTTTCAACTGCCTCATATGCATGTGAAAGCTGGACAATGAATAGGGAAAACGAAAGAAGAACTGGTGCGTTTGAATTGTGGTGTTGGCAAAGAAGATTGAAAGTATCATAGACGAACAGAATAAATAATCTTGGAAGTACAGCCAGAATGCTCCTTAGAAGGCAAGATGGCGAGACTTCGTCTCACTTATTTTGGACATGTCATCAGTAAGGAAGGACATCATGCTTGGGAAAGTAGAGGGTAAATGAAAAGAGGAAAATCCCCAATAAAATGGATTGACACAGCGGCTGCAACATAATTACAACTGTGAGAATGTCGCAGGACTGATCAGCATTTTGTTCTGTTGTGCATCGACTATGAATTGGTGCTGATCCAACAGCATCTACCAAAAACCACCCTTCCCCAAAGAATTCTGTACTCTTCAATCTACAACCACATCAAAATGGCAGTTCTCGTGTCCCAAAGGACTCAAACCATGCTCCTTTAAAATCTTCTTAGAGTTTAAGTAACAAAAACAAATCTGAAGGGGGAAGATCAGAGCTGGAGTAAGATTTACCAATGAAATTCTCATAGAACAGCCTTTGCTACACTAGAAGAATGACTAAGTACATTTACTGATGGAAAAAGCAGTCAGGGGCACAAATTTTCTGAACTTTTTCTCACCAATGTAGTTTTCAGTTTTCTTAAAACTCTTCCTAATAAGCCTCCACGATCATCCTGTGGCTTTAGAGAATACCTATCAAGGTTACTGTTTTCGAATTCCAAAAAACAGCCGCCCTAGCTTTGTGAGGAAACCGCTCTACCTTGAATTTAACAGGCCCAGAAGACTCTCTCAGAAGCAATTGCTTTGATTGGAACTTCTTTTTGTTTTGAGGGGATCTTAACAAGTCTAGGACAATTGTGTTACTAACATAATTTGTCTGCAGCCTTTCACTGATCAGAAACTTGCTTAAACACATTTTTCATGGAATAAACCTGTCCATATAGGAGCTCTGGTAGCGTAGTGGTTACGAATCGGGCTGCGAACCTTAAGGTCAGCGGTTCGAAACTACCAGCCGCTCCGTGGGAGAAAGATGAGGCTTTCTACTCCCATAAAGATTTACACCCTCGGAAAGCCTGTACAGGGTCGCTATGGGTCGGAACCAACTCGACGGCACTTAACAACAACAACAACAACATATAGGAACTGGATGAGTTCTGGTGTGACACTATAGGAAAAGCAATGGACCACAAGTTCGCTTCAAACCCACTGGCTGCTCTTCAGAAATGTTATACAGGATCACTATGAGTCAGAACAGAGACACGATGGCATTTAACAACAAAACCAGCAGATGAACTAGAACCCAAGTAGGAATACTTTTTGACTTAACCTGTATCACTCACTTATCTATATAACTTGGGGCAAGTTTCTTAACCTCTCCTATGCCTGTAAAACAGGAGCAGTAATTATGGAGCTGTTGTAGTGCTGTAGGATCAGCACTGGACTGAGAACCACACAAGGTGGGCAGTTCAAAACCACCAGTTGCTCCTCGAAAACCCTATGCAGGGTCACTGAGAGGAACCAATTCGGTGGCACTTAATAGTCCTATAATAATTCAACATGTAATGCATTGAAAGTAGTACATAATAATCTATAAATGTTAGTGATTCTTATAATGGAGGAACAACAGATAGTTTAGCACCTTAATGTTGTTGTTGTTAAGTGTCATAGAGTTGATTCCCCTGTATAGGGTTTCCAAGGAGCAGCTGGTGAGCTTGAACCACTGACCTTGCAGTTCAAATGACTTTGCAGTCTGACGGATTAGCCTGCAGCGCCACACCAGGACTCCTTAATAGACAACACAAAATTTACCTATAGTTGAAATTGAGCCCAACTCCAAATCTTGTGTAATAACACAACTAGTACCTTTTTTGGGAAACAAAATTACTTAAAAATATTATAGTAACCAAAACTATGCTTAAAATTTAGCCAGCACTTACAATTTACAAAGCATTTTCCAAGGTAAGCATTATATTTATTTTACAAATGAAAATCTGAGGTTCAGAGAAATTTAGAAATATGCTCATTAACAAATACTATTTCTGAATATTTTTTGTCTCAGATATTTGGCTAAAAACCTCCAAAATATGTACTTTTATCTCCATTTTACACATTAAAAAACTAGTTAAGGGATTTGTCCAAGATCACATAGCTAATATGTGGTAGACCTAGGACTTAAAACCTAGTCCAACTTTGTTCCATGCCACATCTTTTATATATTTACTTTAAACTGTATAAATACATAAAATAGAAAGTGTATTATTTATAAAATTGCTGAATTGCTATTTATCTTTATTCTCATGGATGGTTTTTTTGAGTTCATTCTAGTTTTCTTTGATCCTTGAGTTTAAATATTTGGGTTCCATCCTAAGAATGGTACAAATTGGAGTCAATCAATCAAAGCTGGACACTATACACAACTTTTACTTCCACGTAAGTCCAATTTAACTAGCAGTCTTTAATTTCTTAATAATTTTAAGTAACTTTGAGACCTTCCAGATTCTTCAGGTTGAGTCTCAGAGTCCAGAAGACTTGACATTATTTAGGTTACCCTTCTATTTGGAAGATGCTCAGGTAGATAATTATAAATTCCATTCCCTGCTCCCATAACAATGTCTATAAACCTCTTGATTATAAACATTCTACCTGGAGTTTGACAATGAATCTTGATTCTTCTTCCAGAAATTACTGAGCCTTTAATGAGAGCCAGCTAAACGTAGACACTAACAAATCCTATAGCTACTTAGTCTCCACGCTCAATATATACAAGTGTATTCATGTAAACCCTATTGGGAGAGGTCTATTTAAAGGTAAGATCTCTTTGGATATGACACAGACAGATTACCATGCCCTAAGGAATTACTTGAAAGGGGAAAGCTTTCAGCTTGGCTTCTGTATAACCAACTCATTATGGCTGTGTCAGCACCTCATTAGCACTCAACTCAGGATTTCTTGGCTATCTCATAAAAAAAGGGATTTTGATAACTATCCCCAGGAGTATGAAATAACTTTTGCTTTCCTGTTGACTGAAGAAAGCCACACAATTTGACTTATAAAGCAGAGAACAAAACCACCTTTCATTTTCCAAGTCACTTAGTGTATGATTTCCATTCTTATACTATTTAGATCCTTAATGTACAGGGGGGTGTGTTTGCTGCTGGCTGTAAAGGGTTTAAACAAGCAGAGGTGAAAACTCTGTTCAGCATACTGTAATATATATCAGATGTCAGCGTTCTTCGCAGAAGGCTAGGGAATCTTAAGCACCTACCAGGGCTTCCTTCCCTACAGTCAGGACTGAGGTGTAGGACTCCAGATATACTCGATTGCATCGCTTTACAACTTCCAGGCCCTTGACGGTGATGTCTTTGGCATCTCCCAAGCCCAAGCCGATCAGGTAAAGCATTTCAAACTCCAAGGGGAGGATGACTGCAGAACAAAGCGAACAATAAAGACGTGTCAGTTGCACCAAGGATGCCTAAAAGTGGGACATCAGCGCGCTGATTAAAAACAAAAGTAGCATAAAGCGGGAGGCATATATCACTCCCAGACAAGGAGTCTTGAGAATAGGTTCTCAAACCCCCACGCTCTCTTAACATCCAAACTAGGAAGATACCATTTACCCGCTAAGAGAATCGAAGCTAGTTCTCTGGCCTTCCACTCTCCTAAATGCCTTCCCGCAGAAATACCGATCAAAGGATCCAAGCCCAGCGACGAGGCACGCCGCCGCCTTCACCTACGTTGCCGCAAAATGCTGGCGCCTTTACTGCATTTTACGACTAGCGGTAGAGTTGAGACGTGCAGGCTCAAGCGGAGTAGGGTGGGGTGGTGAACCCGGTTCAGGAGCCACTACTCATGAGGCTACTAGGGCGGGGACGGGGAAGATTGGTCGGCCAGGGAAAGTCCGTCCAGCGCCCCCAGGATGACCTCCGGGAATGGACTGGATATGCCCACGATCTCCCATTGATCACTGGTCTAAACATCCCCATTCTTGCTCTGAGTATGTGCAGGGACTCTCTGGGGAAGAACCTGACATGAGGTTGGCGGGACAGTGAGGAGGGGGTCACATGTGGTGGCGGGTAGGAGGACTCCCTTATTTGCCACGGGTTTGCTTAAGTGCACAGATTTCCATCCTTGACTTCTCACTCTGCTAGATTTTAATCAGCAGCCGCCTCGATGAACTGTCAGATTGGTTTGACTAGCAGTGAATGTGATTTTGATTTCCCAGCGGGATAGTGACACCTTAGTTTGTCCCCCAAACCTCATTCGGAGTGCCCCAAGGGGAGTGACTGGGATATGCTTCAATCATCCTCAGTATGGGGAAAACCAGAATTTCTCGTACAAAGAGAAGTGACCTTTAAGATTACTCAGAGATTTCAGGCCTTTCCTTAATTGCTTCTATAGGGGGAATTCTTATCGTGTTAGATGTGGTTCTAATATCAGAATGGTTTTGTTTTTACTGAAAACACTCTGTAAGGTCACTAGTGACCTCATCCAAATTAACAGACCCTTTCCATTGCTTATCTAACTGGACATGGTTGTTTATTCAGAATTTTCCTGGTCCTTCGCCTACAGTGCCTTGAGTCGTTTTTCCTGGGTTCCATCCAGGCTTTGCACTTTTCACTCTAGTACTCTGACTGATTCTATTATCATTGTCACTATTTCAACCCATTCCTCACACCGAAGTGAACTAAAATGAATCATAGACTTAAATGCTGTTGTTGTTAGGCGCTATCTGGTCGTTTCCTACTCATGTTGTTGTTGTTACGTACCGTGGAGTCCGTTCCGACTCATAGCGACCCTGTACAGAGTTTCCGAGGCTGTAAATCTTTACGGGAGCAGAACGCCTCATCTTTCTCCCGCGGAACAGCTGGTAGTTTCGAACAGCTGACCTTGTGGTTTGCAGCCTGATTCGTAACCACTACGCTGCCAGGTTTCCAAGAACCAGTTGGTGTGTTTGAACTACCGATTTTGCAGTTCAAACTAACCTTGAAGTCCAGTGCTTATCCAACAGTGCCACAATAGAAAACCTAAAACTCTAAAGCTTTCAAAAAAAAATCTAGGTTTTGAACATATTTGTGATATTTACACAAAGATTTTTTAGGTGGAACACCCAATGTATGATTAGTGTGGTAAATTGGACTTCAACAAAGTTAGAAGATATGCTCTTCAAGAAACGCTGAAAAGACAAGGCACACAATGGGAAAACATGTTTGCAAAGTATTTGTCTTTATTAGAATAATGAACTCTCAATGCTCAGTAATAAGATAAAAACTGAAAGAAAAATAGACAAAAATTTTCAGGAACACTGTACGTAAGGAAATGTAAAAACAAAAAATCAGCAAAAACCAATCGCCATCCAGTAAATTCTGAATCATAACAATACCCTCATCTTTCTGCCACTATTTTCCCCATAGAGCAGATGGTGGTTTCAAACCACCAACCTTTCTGTTAGCAGATAGCACTTTACCACAGTACCACCAAAGCTTCTTAAAGAAGATATGTGATGGGGCTTCAAAAGGTTCATGGAAAAGTGGATTGAAAATACAATGGATTTTTGCCCACAAAATTTCTGAAGGCTTTTTATATAAATGATAGATTGTGATAGTTAAGGTTTTGTGTCAAGTTGGCTTGGCCAGGATTCTCAGTGATTTAACAGTTAAGATGTAGTTACCACCTCCATGATGAGATCTAATGTAATGCAATCACCCCATGATGTGATCTTATGTGCTCAGCCCTGATTTGGTGCAATTATCCTGTGTTGTAAATCCTCACTTCTATGATGTTAATGAGGGCTGATGCAATCTACAGGATTAGGTTGTATCTAGAGTCAATCTCTTTTGAGATATAAAAGGATAGAAAGTGAGCTGAGTTCAGGGGACTTCTACCACCAAGAGAGAAGATCCAGGAGTAGAGTACATCCTTTGGACCTGTGAAGTTCCTAGATCCAAGAGAAGATTGATGCCAAGATATATGGAGATCTCCAAGGAATGCTGGGCCCACAGATGCCGAAAGGAGTTAAGGACCTTTCCCCAGAGCCTTGGACTTTTAGCCTCCTAAATTATGAGAATAAATTTCTAGTTGTTAAAGCCATCCACTAGTGGTATTTCTGTTATAGCAACATTCGATAATTAAGACATAAGTCTTTGAAGAGATACTTCACATCATTCAACATTGTTGTTTGTTGATTCAATAGAGAAATAGAATTAAAACCACAATGTGGTGCCACTGTACATCTATTAGAATGGCTTTTTTTTTAAACTGCCTATTCACTTGTAATTTCAGGTACCTCCATTTTGTTGACTCAAATTTCAACCTCTCTTTCAGGCATTGCTCTTAAACTCATATATATAACTTCACTAGATATTATCACCTAGATGTCCCAAAGGCATGTCAAATTCAACAAATCCAAAACTAAATCCATTATCTTTTTCAGACTTGGCCTTCCTCTGTCTTATCTACTTTGGTTGGAGGCATCACCCAAACTTGACATCTGGGAGAAACCTTCATATCTAATCTGTCCTGTCTGTCCATCTTCAATAGAAACCATGCCCACTGATCAGAAAATAGCACTTGTGGCAAGCACTGAAATTGCACCACTGTCCAAGCATCTGACACTATCTTTTAGATAACTTTATCATAATAGCAGCTCAAAAATACAAGTCAAACTTGTTAATCTTTTGCATAAAACATTATGGCACTACATGAAAATTATAGCAACACCTGCCTTATGCTTTACCTTCCTTACTATCACTGATGAAAACTGGTCTGTGATGTGCACAGTGTCATTTTTTTTTTTCCCCAGTTACTTCTCTTGCTACAATCAACAGGCCAAGATCATGTGGTTTGCCTTGATGCATGAATGCTTTCAAGCATGAAAGTATTCATTTTAAATTCCTGCGTGTTCTCTTGTTCCTGGTGATGGAAACTGCAATGATTAATAAAAACTGGTCAGTGGTACCCCCTCTTCAAGTGGCACTCAGGGCCATATCTGCCATATCTTAAGTATGCTACTACCACTGTTCTGGTTCAGGTCCTCATTTCTCACTCCTGTAGCTAGTCACCATGTCTTCCTCACATTCATCCTCCTAGCAGGGAGTAAAGATACCTGGCTGAGACATACCTGAAAATGTCACTCTGCTACTACAAATTCTTTTTGGCAATAAGAAATTCCAGACTTTTAAAATATCCTATCAAGCCTCGTGTGGCACTGTAGGATAAGCATTGAATGCTAACCACAAGATTGTTATTGTTGCTGTTGTCGTTAGGTGCCATTGAATCGACACCAACTCATAATGACCCTATGAACAATAGAACAAAACATTGCCCAGTCCTGGGCCAACCTCACAATCATTGCCAAACCTCAGCCCATTCCTGCTGTCATTGTGGCAATCCATTTCGTTGGGGTCTTCCTCTTTTTCTCTGACCCTCCACCTTACCAAACATGATACCAAACATATCCTGAGGATATGTCTGAAGTATGAGAGACAAAGTTTGGCCATCCTGGCCTCCAAGGAGCACACTTGCTGTGCTTCTTCCAACAGAGATCGGTTCATTCTTTTGGCAGCCCATGGTCCTTCTAATATTCTCCTCTAATATCATAACTCAAATGCATCAATTCTTCTATGTTCTTCCTTATTCATGTTCAACGTTTGCATGCATATGAGGTTATTGAAAACACCATGACTTGGGTCAGGTGCACCTTAGTCCTTAACTGACATCTTTGCTCTTCGTTTTAAAGAGGTTATGTGCCGCTTCTCAGATTATTTGATCAGCATACAGGTTGAATAAGTATGGTGAAAGAATACAACCCTGTCACACATCTTTCCTAATTTTAAACCACTCAGTGTTCCCATGTTCTGTTCGAACAACTGCCTCTTGGTCCATGTACAGATTCCTCATGAGCACAATTAAGTGTTCTAGAATACTCATTCTCTGAAATGTTGTCCATAACTTGTTATGATCCACACAATTAAAGGTCTTTGTGTAGTCAATAAAGCACAGGTAAATATCTTTCTGGTATTCTCTTCTTTCAGCCAAGATCCATCTGACATCAGCAATGATGTCACGTCCTCTTCTGAATCAGGCTGGAACCTCTGGAAGTTCTCTGTCAATGTATGCTTGCAGATGTTTTTGTATTACCTTTTGTAAAACTTTACTAGCATGAGATATTAATGATACTGTCCCATAATTTCTGCATTCTGTTGGGTCACCTCTGTTTTGAATGGACACAAATAGGGATATCTTCCAATCAGTTGGCCAGGTAGTTGTCCTACAAATCTCTTGGCATAGATGAGTGAGTACTTCTAGTGCTGCATCAGTTTGTTGAAAGATTTCAATTTGTATTCCATCAATTCCTGGTGCCTTGTTCTTTGCTAATGCCTTCAGTGCACCTTGGACTTCTTCCTTCAGGATCATTTGCTCTTGATCATATGCTACCTCTTGAAATGGATGAACATCAACCATTTCTTTTGGATACAGTGACTCTGTATTCCTTCCATTTTCTTTTGGTGCTTTCTGCAAGGTAGGCAGTTCAAACCCGGCAGTCACTCCTTAGAAACCCTATGTGGGGTTGCTATGAGTTAGAACCAACTCGACAGCACTTACAACAACAACAAATATACTACAAGAGCTTCCCTGATTTGACTTCA